ACTCACTCTGTAGACCAAGCTACACTCGTACTCACAGAGATCTGCCTGCCTCTGCCTCTGCCTCCTGAGTGCTGAGATTAAAGGCGTGCGCCACTGAAGTGTGTGGCATAAATGCTGTCTCTGTCTCCAGCAAAGCTTTTCTTTGGTCTTCATCTCTGTCTCTCCCTTCCTTCCTGTGCTGAGGATTAAACAAGGCCTTGGTGGGTGAGAGCTACGACACTGAGCTACCGTCTCCCAGCTGCAAGCGTGTATATGAGCTTCCTTCTCTTTTAAAACATGATCCATCCAGACCATGGGTGAGGAGGTGGAGCTGAGGTCAGAGCAGTGGTTCTCAACCTTCCTAATGCTGCGACCCTTAATACCAGTCCTCATGCCATGGGGACCCCCAACCATAAAATTATTTTCGTTGCTACTTCATAACTGTAATTTTGCTACTGTTATGAATCATAATGTGAGTGTCTGATATGCAGGACATCTGATATGTGACCCCTGTGAAAGGGTCATTCAATCCCCTAAAGGTGCCAAGCCCCACAAATTGAAAACTGCTCGGTTGGAGGTTCTGCAAAGTCAATAGGTGATCTGTGGGGGGAAGGAGGGAGATCCTGACACAGACTCCTGACTCCTTGGCTAGGCTGCCGTTCTCTGCCTCTGCCCCCAAGGGGAGTCCCCATTCTAGCTACAGCCTTGGCTGGCAGCGTGTGTGTGTGTGTGTGTGTGTGTGTGTGTGTGTGTGTGTGTGTGTGTGTGTTTGTGTGCTCACACACGCACACGCACATGCATGCATGCACATGAACACGCACTCACAAAGCATGCAAAACTTTTGGGAACATTCAGAAGACAGAACAGGAAAGGTCAACAGCATTTCCTCAGAAGAGATCAGGGGTGACAGCCTGTGAGGAGTGAGTGGGGTGTGACCTGGAGATCCTGACCTGGGCTTTTTTTGAGAACAGTGTGGTTGGTGAGGGAGACAAGGTCATGGGCACCTAGTCACACAGTGGCAGTGCCAGGAGGAGGTTCCAGGGCCCTTGTGTTTCTTAGCACTAGGGTGCTGCACCAAGCTGGAGCACATTAGTGCTGGGGAGTGGGGTGGGCACAGGTCACAGCTCATTTCTGAGCAGTAGAGATGCTATGACAAGGAGGACAGTTCTGTCGCCAACCTAGTCATCACTACCATTCCAGCATGTACATCGCCTGGGAGAAAGGCGAGACAGGACAGTGTCAATCACTATGTCCAAACTTATGAGCCCCAAAGGCCTGGCCTTTCCCTGCATGAGAAGGCCAGAAGGGGACAGAGGAACCCTGGGAAGAGGCAGAGTGCCAGTCTGTGTGCCTGCCAACATCAGGCACACACATGGATATATCATGTAGTGCACTCGGGTTTGCAGACAGTTACACATACATGTATGCACACTGATGTCTTGAAGGCTCTGCCTTAGAGTACTGTGCATATTGCACAGCCACGTGAAGACACATGTGTCTCCATGGCACTCGGTGGGCCAGGGGTGTGGGTGAGGGCTCTAGAGTTCCTGAGCTGTGGCATGGCTGGGGGTGGGGCCTGCTCTTGGAGGAGGGGAAGGGAGGGAGCTTCCTGGTCCTCACTGGCCCGCACTTCTCTCTCCCTCCGGCAGCCAGCAGCACAGCCCCCTTAGATGGAAGGCATTCTTGGGAGAGTCAGACATTGCAGGATCCCTGACTCACGCCTGGGCTGAGAGCTCACTTGGCCTCTGGACAACTGTCACAGAGTGGCCGCCTGTGGGCCTCCAGCTCCAAGGAGAGGGCAGCTGGGGACTGGCTGTCAAGCCTTACTCCAAGTTAGAGAGGGAATTGCACTTCCTGTTCTAGATTGGAACAGCCTGAGGGGACCATCCTAGCTAGGGTCTGGGACAAACGCAGTCACTGATCTTTTGTCCAGCTCTGCTCCTTCCTTCTTCCCCTCTTGCTGTGAGCCTTGACCATGCTGGTCACTCCCCCACACGCTTCTCCCAGGCTGCGCTTAAAACGGCAACATTTTCACCTTCTGGAAGGATCCAATCGGATAGAAGCTGTGGGCAGTGTGGACACTTAAATGACAGGCTAGCTTCTGTCCTAGGAGTCCACAAGCTCCTTTCTGGCAAAAGTGGACCGAGTTGGACTGGAAGGTGTTCTGTTTCCTGTGGCCTTGCTTCTGGACCTTGAGAGCATCAAGCTGGGCCCCTACATGCAGGGCAAGGCAGGGTGGCAGGAGCAGAGGAATCTAGGCCCTGGAGGAATCCAGACATGAGAGTTTCTGGACCTGTTTGAGTCCCCCCCACCCCCCCCCACCCCCTTCAAAAAGAGGCTTTTTTCAAAGCAAGCTGCCTGGAGAGTGGGGGAAGGGCCTCCAGCGTCTGGGCTGGGCTCAGAGCTAAGAATAATGTGGCAAAGACTCTTGACATTTTTTTGCTGACGTTGGAAATTTAAAGGAGCCATGGCCTTTCTTTCCTAAGGAGAATGAGTTAGCCGCTTCCCACGTGTCCCTCGCTGGCATGACTATGGTTTTCACCTATGATTATGTTTTTTATGACTATGTTTTTTTTTTATGCAAGACCCTGGGCTGGGAGCTAGGGACACAGGGGGAGGAGGGGGAGGCTTCTCCCACCCTTCCAAAGTCCCCAGTGACATTCCCTTACAATCTGGGTGTGATAATGTAGATGCTCAGGCAGGCACTGCAGGCTGACAGACAGAGGAGACTTCTGGCCAGCTGAGCTACACAAGGGGTCTGTGAGGCTGCAGGAGAGTCCAGCTCCACACCCTGCTCTAGACTCAGCTTCACTACCCGTAAATGGGGGGCTTTCGTCTCTACTTCTCCCCTACTCCTGCTAGGGTTCTGGACTTGTCTAACACAACGAGCCTCAGTTTACCCTCTGCCAGTTGGGGAAGTCATAGTTCTCTCAGCTTCCCTTCCAATGCTAGTGAGGCCTGGGTGCCGACAGGTGGAAGGGCAGAGAAAAGGGGGGTGGGGGCTGTCTGGGATTTTTCACATAGGACCTGCTGGAAACCCAGCACACCTCCACTGCACCCCACCAGATTTGATGAGCTTTCTATTGCTGTCTCAGCTCACAGCCTACCAAGTGAGTTCCAAAAGAGCCCGAGAGCCAACTGAGGATGATGATAGAGAGGGGGTCTGGCCTGGGACTTGGTGGTATCTTTACAGTGCAAAGATGTATCCTTAGAAGCAGTACACAGTGGAGGCAGGAGGAAGCAAAGGAGAATCGGGACAGCCACCATGAGGACAGGGACAGCACCCCGTGCCTGGAAAGGCTGCTCAAGATCAGATCTGTTCTACAGAACAATGGTAGGCTGCCCAAAGACAACCAGGTCACTGTGCTTAGAGGGAGGCAGGTGATTGCCTTTGGAGTACATTTCAGAGAATACTAGCATTCAGCATAGGCTCACCTTGAACTCACCACCCTCCTGCCTTCTGCCTCCAGGGTCTCAGGACTTCAGGCCTATGACACTAGGCCTGGTACCATGATTTTTTTTTTGTCATTTTCCTTCTAAGATCTTTTGACTGAGATTCTAACAGGCTAAGATTCCTTCACTAGGTTCAAAAGACTTTGTGGGGCTTCGATATAAGATTATCATGTGTGGTGGTCATTTGAGGATTCACATACTCTCTGATTCTTTGATTCAGGCCTAAATCTATTGGGATCTAATATTTGCCTCAGCCTTTAGAGCAAATGGCTGGGTAGCCATAGCCAGACCTCTGTAGAGCAGCTGGGTGGGGTATCCAAACCTTCCTCCACTGTTCCCTGTAATGGTTTGATGCCAAGACTCCAGAAAAATCATCTTTTGGGGTGCTGGTGCAAAGACTCACCTGGTCCCCGGGCTCTAGTCAAGAACACGTGAGAAAGAAGATAATTAGGAGTCCGTTGATTGAGTGAGAAAGTGAGTGAATAAAGGGTCCCTGGGGCTCAGTGGCAGGATGCTCTCCTAGCTTTCTTGAGTCCCTGGCCAAAACGTTGAAAAGAAATAAAAAAAAAAAAGCCTCTTCGCGCCCCACTCCTTTCCAGGCCTGTTGTCTGTTGTCTATTATGCCGCTATCAGAAGATTGAGGGAATCTGGCCTCACCTACTGAATTCTCTACTAACTGCACACACCCCTCAGAAAGGATGTCCCCAAGGGCAGGGACTTTGCCCAGTGTGCAGCTTTGTTCACAATACTTAGAACAGAGAAAAATACAATGGATTAACTCAGAGCTCAAGAGGCTATCAGCGTAGGAGGGTGGGGTGGGGTAGGGTGGGAGAGCTAACTGTGAGTCCCTGAGCCCTAAGAGGGAATGGAGGGGTGGACAGGGATGAGCACATTGAAATGGAGAAAGGGGCAGTTATGACAATATCAGGTTTCAATCAAGGGCACTAGCCCAGAAAAATAAGATCATACAACATAGACCTTAATACATCCAGGTTGTTCCCTTACACACACCTCTCCATTTCCAGGGGGGCCGCCTAGGTGCCTGTCTCTGAAATTACTTCAAGACTTGGCTTCCAGGGTGTGGGTCCAGCTGGAACTCTTAGGGCTTCTCCTCCCCAGGGAGGTTTCAAGGGTGAACTTGGGAGTGGAGGAGGGCACTCACTGACTTCTGTGTCTGACTCTCCTAAGGCAAAGGAGAGGGGCCCCCACTAAGGGGTCCCTGATTAAAGCTTGACAACAGCGGGCAATGGATCTATTGGGCAGGTGAGAGAAATGTGTGGCAGAAGGGATGTGTGACCAGAGCAGGCTTGTGTGGACAATCTGAGAAGGAGACTCCAGTCCCTGGGAGCAGAACTTTGGAGTCGGTCTGTCTTTCTGCTCATCCTGTAGTCTACACCCTGCTCTCCCACTTCCAGGATCTCGGAGTCCAAGGATGTCCAGGCTCTAAGGAACAACGCCCCCAACACAGCCGGACGAGGGGGCAGTAGGACCCAGGGGTTGGGAGAGCGCCCGCAGCACAGGGGCGGGAGCCAGGGCGGTTTGGGGGAGGTCTTTGGCTTTTTTTTTTTTTTTTCTTCCTCGGGGAGCCACGGCGCTCTCCGGAAGCGTTTCCAACTTTCCAGAAGTTTCTTAGAACGGGCAGGAGGGGGTGGGGACAGCCATATATAGATCCGGAGCCCGGGGCAGTGAGTTGAGTAGAGCCTGTCTGAGACGAGTGTCCCGTCGGTCCCGGAGCAGCCCAGCCCGGCCCAGGTGAGGGGCGGGGGCGGCCGGGCGATTTGGCCCAGAGGGAACGGATCGCTCCCGAAGGGACTGGGGCCCGATCCAAAAGCCTGGGGTCCTGGCACTGGAGGGCAGGGAAAGATCGGACACGGAGCAGTCCTGCTTAGGGTCAGGTTACACATCACGGTCCCTGGAGCTGTAGTCTGGTACGCGGACCGACCGGAGGAAGTGAGGAGGGGTCCCAGCAGCTCAGGGAAGGGTAAAGGTGGTGGCAGGGCCTGAGTGGAGCTGGGACCAAGTGCAGAGATGACCTTTTGCACAACAGAGAAAGGGGGAGACCTGATTCTCCCATCGTCATTGGGGAAAGGCCAGCTCTGCAGTCCCTTCCTCTGGGGTGGAGGCCCAGGGACGCGCCGTGGTTGATACCAGCCCAGCCTCCCCACAGGCTGTGTGGGGGCCTCTGCACCTAGCATGAGAGATGCCATAGCCTTGGTTTCTCTTGACCCGGAGTGGGAGTCCCTAGCTGTTAGGGACCCCCGGGCTTTGGGGAGCAGTCGCTTTTTAATTAGCATCCTAGAAGGTGACTGATGGCTGGACTTGACCAGCATTACCCCACCCGAAAGGAGAGTCATCAGGGTCCACCAGACCCCGGGTGATTGGAGTCACCCTGGTCGTTCCATCCACCCATCTAGTTCCTGCAGGGTGAGGACTTCCTCTGAGCCTTGAGGTACCCAGCCTCCAGCTTGGGGACATTGCTGAGTCTCCAGACGCAAGGAAGAAAGCATTCCCGGTTTGGTCTAAAGGCCTACCTCTCCACTTCCCGGGTTTCCTGCTGGGCCTTCTGGGCTCCAGGGCCCGGATGGAGGCCGGTACGAAACTGGGGGCTTTGACTGCCTGGAAGTCGGGCCGAGGCCACACCCTTCTGCTCTCAGATAGTTCCTGCACCCATCCCCCATTCCCGTCTAGTCCTTTGTCTCAGTCCCAGGATTCCCTGCAGAGATTTTTTTTTTTTGGTAGTGGATTGCTGAGAAACAGGACACCACAGTGGTCGGCTGGAGAGCTTTGCTGAAGGCAGAGCCCCTCACTAGGAATCCTGACCTACTTGAGCGGAGGAGGCCTCAGCTGGGCTCTGCTTTCTCCTAATGCAGAATCCACCTCCGCAGCATCCCCTTGATACCCCGGGTATCCTTTGGGGGCTGGGCCTGACAGGCCTCTGCACCCCACATCTCTGCGGGGTCCCATCTCTTTACTCTTCTGTTTTCTTTCAGAATGAAAAAGGCAGGCAGTGATCTCCCTCTGAGGCAGTTTCAAGGTACTTTAGACCCTTCAAGTATCTGAGAAAACCCTGGTGTTTGCCCCCTGCCTCTGGCGTCTGCTCCCCTTCTCTCCCATCACAGGCTCCCAGGGCCAGCGGTGGGCAAAGCCTTTGGCTCTGTGGTATCTTGGTTCTATTTTGTTTCTGGTTTTGTTTTTCATTATGGGACTGTAAATTGTCTAACCTTGGCCGGAGGGCTGGCATTTAGCTGTGGCAGATGGGTTGGGCTTAGGAGGCTGGCTTGCTTGCAGAAACTTGCCTACTTTCATTCCTAATGCTGGGTTTAACAGCGTGGCCTTTCTCGCCAGCCCTGCCTCTTGCCTCAGACTTCTGAAGCGCAGATGTGAAACTATAGCCCAGGAGGCTCCTGGATTCTCCAGGCGATTCCTCAGCACCCCTAGTTCCCAAACCAGGCTCCCAGTTTTCTTCCCCTCTGCTGGCCTATTGAGATGCTGTAACTTCTGCCTGCCACGTCCTCACCACGAACCTTGCGGAATCCCAAACTAGTCATTTGGAGCTTTCTGGAGAAGCCCCTCCCAGGTCGGGGTTGGGGTTGGCTGGGCGTGGGGGCTGTCAAGATGGTAGCTGCCACGTGGCAGGCAGGGCTAGGCTTCTCTTCCCCTTCCTTAGGCAGGCTGGTGGCCTCGGCTGGATTAGTGGTCCTTTCTGAGTAGGGTGGCCACGTGTCTGCTGCTGTGATATAATCCATAATGCTTCATTTTACTCTTTGAAGTATCTTTGAATGTACAGTGAATTACATGGTCACCCTGACTCAAAGGTCTAGTGAGGGAGGAGTATAGTGTGGACATGAGGACCCCACCTCTCCTAAGAGTGAGATCTCACATCACCCCTCAGGCAGCTTTGAGACTGTGGTCCTCCATTCCCTCTCCCTGTCCAGTCCCTTTGCGTTGTTCCTTCAAGGTCCCTAGAAGGGAAGCAGCTGAGGAGGTGGGGGCTGGTCTGGCTAGCAGGAGTGTTGTCTCAGAAATCCCATACCCTTTCAGGCAGGCCAGGCTCGCGAGAGTCTTCCAGCAGGGTTTGGAATCTTCTTTCTTCCTAGAAGACTATGAAAGGGTCTTCCATTGTAGGGGCACCCATTCCCCACCAGGGTTCTTTCTGATCTTTTTGCCTCATGGTCTACTCACCTGAACTGCATGAAGTGGGGAGGGGGGAGCGATGAGCTGGAGAGGGTGTGGGAATAGAAACCTTGGTGATCTGGGGCTTATCTTGAGGACTGTTTCTACTGCTGGAGTTTGAGGAGGGGACTTGAAGGCATCTCTGAGGTTCTGGGACAGATGGTGACGTGGCCGTGGCTGTCCCACGGGAGGGCAGAATGGAATTTGTGGCTCTGGCTTCCTGAAGGATGGAGGGGAAAGGTCGGTGCTCCACTGAGCAGCGACTCACTCTCTTCCTTCCCCAGGATCCTGCCCTTGCTTCAATCTTAGGAACCCCCTTTCAAGTTTCTAAAGACCTGGTCCCAAGAGCATTTGTCATGGGATTTCCCATCTGGTTCAGGGGCTGTGTGGGAGACGGACAGGCGAAGTCCCTGCTAAGGAAGAGGTCTTGGGTATGGGGAGACCTAGACCCTTAGTGCTCAGCAAGAGTCTGAGGCTAGATGGTAACACACGTGGTGTATGTACACACCCAAGGTCACCCTAGGGGCAGCAGAGTGGAGCATCTGGGTTCCCCCATTTAATGAGTGACCTAGCAGTGACTTATTAATGTCCCAGGGCAGAATGCAAGGCACAGAGAGGGCCAGGGCCTCAGCTCCATTTTACATGGCATCCTCTGCTCAGAAGTGGGCTTCCTGCAGACCCCCGGCCCAGCTGCTGCCTTTTACCAACTGACAAAGGCCCTGAGGCTGTAGGAGACTAGAGCTGGGCTTCACAAAAGCCAGTGAGGATGCCATTCTGGCCAGGTGGCCCTGACCCTTAGAAACAGCTATGACAATGCTGGGCATTGGGATGTTGTAGGGAACCAGATATACTAGGTTTCCCGCTCTCTTGGCTACAGCCTACTTCAGGGCAGCTATAGATACATAATAAACTTATAAGTAAGTATAAGTATTTGATGTCCCATGGGAGACATCAATGGGTGGCCCGGTAATGTGCCAGGAACTTTTTTTTAGGTAAGGCTGTCGAAGAAGGCCTCTGAGAGGCTGGGTGGCCCTGAGTCAGGTCTGGGATCCAGAGCTGAGTTCTCTTGCCCCGTCGTACCCTTGGTGGCTTGGTGAGTTGACTAGGGAGTAAGGCATAGACTTCAGGGTGGTTCTCTCTGTACTCCGCACAGGTCCTCTGTGGTGCACACAGCTCACCTCTCAGCCATGCGCTCTCTCCTTCTGGCCGCTTTCTGCCTCTTGGCTGTGGCCCTGGCAGCCGAGGTGAAGAAGCCTGTAGAGGCCGCAGCCCCTGGTACCGCGGAGAAGCTGAGTTCCAAGGCAACCACACTGGCAGAGCGCAGCACAGGCCTGGCCTTCAGCTTGTATCAGGCTATGGCCAAAGACCAGGCGGTGGAGAACATCCTCCTGTCACCCTTGGTGGTGGCCTCATCCCTGGGTCTTGTGTCACTGGGTGGTAAAGCCACCACCGCATCGCAGGCCAAGGCCGTGCTGAGCGCTGAGAAGCTGCGGGATGAGGAGGTGCACACGGGGCTGGGTGAGCTGCTGCGCTCCCTCAGTAACTCCACCGCTCGCAATGTGACCTGGAAACTGGGCAGTCGCCTGTACGGGCCCAGCTCGGTGAACTTCGCCGAGGACTTCGTGCACAGCAGCAAGCAGCACTACAACTGTGAACACTCCAAGATCAACTTCCGAGACAAGCGCAGCGCCCTGCAGTCCATCAACGAGTGGGCCTCGCAGACCACCGACGGCAAGCTGCCCGAGGTCACCAAGGATGTGGAGCGCACGGACGGGGCGCTGCTCGTTAACGCCATGTTCTTTAAGCGTGAGTCTCAGGATTGGGGTGACGCAGAGGTGGAACTCTTTCCCACTCTCCTGAGCTTTTCCTTATGCTCAATCCTTCTTTGTTTCTCATCTGATCACGATGATACAACTGGCAGAGATAAGGCTTATTGTTAGACTCTCTGACGTGCTAGAAACTAGATCCGGTGGGGAGCCAGGCAGGAATCGCTAGGATGGGACTGTGCTTCGCCACATTAGGGTTCTTGCTTGTGTAAGTTGGAACATTCTGCTTCAATGGATTAAGGAACCATAGATGCAGGGTTAGCCCCATCTCACAGGGAAGGAGACTGAGGCCCAGTGGATTGACTGAAGGTTAGATCTGGGGTTCGTGGTTTTGTGTGAGTATCCAGATATGGGGGGCTGGCCTAAGAGCTTGCTGGTAGGTGAAGGTGACCCCTAGTTTACAGATAGGGTCAGGCTTGGGGTTGGAGAGATGGCTCAGTGGTTATGAACACTGACTGCTCTTCCAGAGGACCCAGGTTCAATTCCCAGCACCCACATGGCAGCTCACAACTGTCTGTAACTCCAGTTCAAGGGGACCCGACACCCATGGCAAAACACCAATGCACGTAAAATAAAACTAAATAAATGAAAAAAAAAAGGGCAAACACACACACACCCACACACACACCCCACCCCCCCCACACCTCCGCCGCCAGAAATGACACAAAAACAAACAAAAGCAAATAGGCCAGGGTGGGTGAGGAGTCTGATTGTCATTGGTCTGTCTGGATGGGATGTAGGTCTGGTTGGGACTTGCACCCCTGTCATGCATACGCTTTTGGTCATCTTTCTGGCCACACAGAACTTAAAGAGAAGGAGGAAATGTTTTTAACTGACTCACTTACTTACTGTTTTTATGTGTATATGTGTGTACCTGCATGAATTTATGTGTGCCGTGAGCTCACATCCGAGTGGTTGTGAATCTCCATGTGGGTGCTGGGAACCGAATCCAGGCCCTCTGCAAGAGCAGTCAGCACTCCTAACCACTGACTCATCTGTCCAGCTTTGAACTTGTGGAGAAGAATTAAAGGTGGGCTTTGCTTACTCCAGGCCAAGTTACAGACCGACCCCACCCACCCCAGTAGGGAAGAAAGCCTGCCTCAGCAAGTTTCCCAGACTCTGACAGATGCCACCCAAACATGAGGAATGAGCTTCTTGCAGTGTGATCAGAGAGACCTGCCTGCTCAGACAGGGAACATGTATTCAGTGGTCTGAGGACTTGCCACACTTGAGGGAGCCCAGAGCATGTGGCATGGGTAGAGTCTAGGGTGCACAGTCGGGGTGGATGGCTGTGGGCTGACTGTGTCTGGGGGACACAGCTCACTGACACCTTGTCTTATTTCTCTCCCATAGCACACTGGGATGAGAAATTTCATCACAAGATGGTGGACAACCGTGGCTTCATGGTGACTCGCTCCTATACTGTGGGTGTTACAATGATGCACCGGACAGGTAGGTATCTAGCCAGACAATCAAGGTGTGGGGCCCCAGGGTGCCCAGAATCTGGTTGGCCCCTTACACACACACACACACACACACACACACACACACACACACACACACACACCCGTAGTGTGCTCAGCATCCTCTGCTTTTCACACAGGCCTCTACAACTACTATGATGACGAGAAGGAGAAGCTGCAGATCTTGGAGATGCCCCTGGCCCACAAGCTCTCCAGCCTCATCATCCTCATGCCCCACCACGTGGAGCCCCTCGAGCGCCTGGAGAAACTGCTGACCAAAGAGCAGCTGAAGACCTGGATGGGAAAGATGCAGAAGAAGGCTGTCGCCATCTCTCTCCCCAAGGGAGTGGTGGAGGTGACCCATGACCTGCAGGTGAGGGCCGGAGGGTAAGGGTCAGGGCAGGCCTCACCCAGTTGTTCAGCAGGTCCGTCCGTCCGGCACCCACAGGGCATCCGCGTAGTGCTGGCCTCTGCTAATGCTGAGGAGATGTGTGTTCTGCCCTTGGGATGATGGCATGGGTACCACTGAAAACAGTTGACCAGCTACTAGGCAGCTGCTACCCATAATGAGCTGAACTTTCTTAAGAAAATCCCCCGCAGACAGACCTACAGACCAGTCTGGTCTTGGACAATTCCTCTTGGATGGCTTTCCTCTCAGATAACTCTAGACTCCGTCAAGCTAACAGTTAGAGCTAATGAGGAGAAGGGTACAGACCCTAGTGGTCTACAGGGGAAGGAAGGGAACGGTGGTTTGGAGCACCTAGCATTATGCCGGGAGCAAGGTGGTCAGCGGGGGACTGTCTCTTTTTGGGGAAGCCTCCAGGGTGGTGTAGATGGAGGATGAGGGTGTAAGAGCCTGGCACATGTGACCTCACTTAGTACCTGCTCCCACAGAAACATCTGGCTGGACTGGGTCTGACGGAGGCCATTGATAAGAACAAGGCTGACTTATCGCGTATGTCTGGCAAGAAGGACCTGTACCTGGCCAGTGTGTTCCATGCCACCGCCTTCGAGTGGGACACAGATGGCAACCCCTTTGACCAAGACATCTACGGGCGTGAGGAGCTGCGCAGCCCCAAACTCTTCTACGCCGACCACCCCTTCATCTTCCTGGTGCGAGACAATCAGAGCGGCTCCTTGCTGTTCATTGGGCGCCTGGTCCGGCCCAAGGGAGACAAGATGCGAGATGAGTTGTAGGGTCCCAGAGTGAGCATGGCATGGCAGGAAGTGGCCAAAGGTTCCTGAGACACATGGGTGCTATTGTCGGGGGAGGGAGGGTTACCAACCTTGGATATTCCACGGGGCGGGGGGTTGGCAATGCAGATCAGAATTCCCGTATGTCTGAGTGGACATTTCTAGCTAAAATCCACTCCTCTAGGATATGGGGCCCAGATACTCTGATGCCAAATTCTGGAGTGTCTCAGTCATCCTGTCCTGCCCTCCAGGTTCTAGATCCAATCTGCCTCAAACAGTCCATCAGTGTTCATATTTATGGCCAAGTCCTTTTTTGATCTGTGAGACAATCGAGTTGGGGGTAGGGCAGCCCTCCTTGTCACCATCCCCTCAGCGCTCCCCAGTTCTCTTGCCCATCTCCCAACTCCCTTTAACCACAAAACTAGGTGCTGCAGCCCCAGGACTGGCCACCCTTAAAATGACGCTTGCCCACCAGCAGTGGGAGTTGGGAGACAGAGACAGAACGTAGGAGGGGCTCCCTGGCCTACCCTGCTCTGGAGCCACCACACTGGGTCCTGCAGGGGTGAACTTTCGGTTTTCTCCTTTTGTAGTTTTTCAAAGATGGGGAGGGACAGGGGGAACATGAGCCTTTGTTGTTTTCAAAATGAGAAGTTAATTTGTACAATTTTTTTTTGAATAAAACTTTTCCAATAAAATGTTACAGGAGCGTGGCAGTAGATTAAAAAGGTTCCCATATCATTCTTTCCAAGAGACAAAGTCTGTGGCTTAAGCAGACCATATCTAGCTCTGGAGTGCTGGCAGATAACTGAACAGGGGCATGTTGTGTGCTGACTGGAGACTGTGTTCTGCTCTGAAGCCCTGGAGAAGTTGGGGCTGCAGAGCCTGGGTACCCCGGTCCCACACGTTGAGGGATCATGCTTGTCAGCCCTCTGATCTCATGGCAAGTTGGTCTTAGCCCAGGGGCCAGAGGGCTAACAGACGCATGTACAGTTGATAGGCTTACCACTTGGTCTCAGCTGTACAGCGGAGGCTTGTGGGAATCCCCCTTTCCAGATGCCTCATATAAGGGGTTTGTGACAAGGAGGAACCCACAGACCCCTGTCCTCGTGTTTGCCTCTTGTGGTCCTTAGGGCTATGCCTCAGGCCTCTGGCGGGAGAGGCAGAGGAAACGGCATTAAGCCCCACCTCTGCTGGCTGTGACCTTGAGCAGCTCACTGCTTTCTCTATATCCCCTCAACCATCAAGTCCACCTGGAGGGGTTTGGACCACAGACAGTCCCTTACCTTGGCCAGACAAGTCTACCAGGTGGAGCTGGAGCTGTAGGAGGGCCGACCCTTTCTCAGAGCTATGCCATTGAGTTTGATCAAAACTGTTTAGAATCCCAGACCTGCCCTGCCCTTTGAACTCAATAGGTTAGATTTCCACTCTCAAGGGACTTCATCTAGAAATGGAGACTGGGGTTAGTGACCAGCGTGCGTGCTCAGGACTCAGTGCATTCCGATGAAGCCTTTACATTGGGTGTTATCTGCCCTTGAGAGGCCATCCAGTACAGCCAGCCCCATGCCTGCTCCAGCTTCTCTGCTACGTTTCCTCATTTCCCTGACTTCGAAGCCCTGGGACACTATCAACTGTACGACATCTAGCACAGTGCCCAGCACACTGCCTAGTGGTCCAGTGGTTCTGTGGTGCTTAGGAACACCACCAAGGAATATGACTCCCTCTCCGCCAGCAACCATTAGCTGTCTATACCTCCTTTCCCCTGATGAAATGCTGACCACTCCAGTCTTGTGTAGGTAGCTGTTCTCAGATGTTCCTGGCTACATCAGCCACATCATGTCCTGAAGTTAGCATCTCACAGCACTCCTTCCCATCCCGCAGCTCTTAGGTTCTTCCCCTCTTCCGTGGGCCCTGCCTTGTTTGCTCAGATATTTGCATTGATGGGATGCTGAGCCAGTGAGGGGATGCTTGGCTGAGATGCCTCTGTACTTTGTCCCTTGGTTAAGTTCCATGCCCTAAATATCATCTTACAGACCCTGAAAGGCCCTTTACTCAGGCACCCAGAAATACATCATGGAGAGACATCTTTGAAATAGGATGTTGTGTTCTGTGCAGACCAGTAGGACAGGAAGAAGATGCCTCCCTGGAAATAGCTAATGAGAATATGGAATCTCAGGAGGACACACAGCAGCACTCTGGACCACAGCCCTCCAAGGCACGGTCTGACCCACAAGTATCTTTAGAAAGATGATTCCATAAACAGCTGGTCAGGGAAGTGGCCAACGATGACCAGCCTTTGCTAAGACGCACCCTAAGGTCCTACTGTACCTATATGACAGCAGGACAGGCCAAGTCCCTCCAGGCCTAGCAAACAAGCCTGACTTGATCTTCTCGGAAAGAGATCCAGGCCTTTCACCTAGAGTCCCTAAAACAAAGGAGGGACCAGCATCCTTCCAGGCCCTTGTGTTGCTCCCAGATGCACACTGTAGCTCCTTCTTTGGACACATAACTCCCGATCACTTGCCTGCACTCTGAAGGGACAATCTACAGCCGCTGCCGGGGTTAGAGGTCAAACCCTGTAATGTTAATTCCCAAGGTCCCAGAATACCACTGTACACGTAGGTGGTTAGGACCCAAGCCAGGTCTGGTGAGCCCCGTGGAGCTCTGGGCTCTTCTTGCAATGGTTTTCCTCCTTTCACGGTTCACAGTTGGAATTTCCAGGCTTGATTCCCACAGGAGGCTCCAGCCATGCCTGTGTAGTAAGTGTCAGAGTGGAAAGGATTATCCGAAAGACCTACCCCAGGTCTTCCCTTCTCACCAACATGTCAGAAGGAAAGCTGTGATTGGGGGAAAATCACAGACATCGCCGTCATCAGCGACTTGAAAGACGCAGGGGGTTACTTTAAGAAAGTATGTGTTGTGTGTGCGTATGATGGGTGTTGGTGTTTGTGCACGTGTGTGTACGTGTACACAGGTGCACGTGCAGGGGTCGGAGGACAACTTTTGGCTTCCTATTTTTATGTGGGTTCAGAGATCGAACTCAGGTCATCAGGCTTTGCAAGCCTTTTACCTGGCGAGCTAACTCACCAGCCCTCAGGGGCGTTTTCTGTCACATCAACTTGACTCCTGCGTTTTTCTATGTGGAGGACACAGTTCTTGGTTCTGCTGTGAGCCTGCTCTAACAGTGACTTTAGTCAGGCTATTCTAGATAGGGTGTTTTCATGAGAACATAGGTTGTCACTTGGTGTGAAACGAGCTCACAATTTCCCTCTCTTTCTCTATAAGGAGTTCCTGATGACGTTTACTTTCTCTTTATAGGGACGACAGTACACCTTTCTCTTGAAACTCATGAAGTCTCTGGCTTTCTGTCATGATTTATTGATGGGGATTTGGAGTCCCTCTCCATCCATCTCAGGACAGCATCTTGCCTACTACATTGGATATACCACAGTGCTAGGAAGTAGCAGTCTTTCAGATGCATCAAAGCAGGAAAGATTGCTCAGCCACTATAGTCAGGACACTACTTGCTACACACAATGGTTAGTTTTTATTGTCACCTTGATATAAACCTAGAGTCACCTGCAAAGAGGGAACCTCATTTGAGGATTTATCCAGACCAGACATGGGCCTGTGGTCATATCTGCAAGAGGTTGTCTTGGGAGGGCCCAATCCACTGTAGGCAGCACACCCCTGGGGGAGGTGGTCCTGGGCTATATACAAGCAAGGCAGCTGAACATAAGCCTGTAAATGAGCCAGGAAGCAGTGTTCCTCCATGGTTTCTCTTCAGTTCCTACTTGAGTTTGACCTCCCTCAGTGATGGGTTGTTAGCTGGAATAAGAGGGTATAACCCTTCCCTCCCATGTCGTTTTCAGTCAGTATTTCCTCCACGGCAAAGAAAGAAAACCAGGATGCCACACAAGCCTGAGACCTGTGTGTGGGTCCCCAGCACCCACGTACAAGCAAGGAGCACGCACCTGTAATCCCAGCACTCGGGAGGTGGAGACGGGGACATTCTTAGGGCTCACTAGCTAGCTAGTCTAATCAAATAGACAAGATCCAGGTTCAGTGAGAACCTGTCTCAAAAAATAAGGTGAATGGGGGCTGGACAGATGGATCTACAGTTAGGTAGCTCACAACTGCTGTAACTCCAATTCAGAGGATGTGACTCCTTCTGGCTTCTGGAGGCATCCATTTGCATGTATGTACACACACACACACACACACACACACACACACACACACACACACACACAGAGGTGGGGGGCATGGCATACACACAAATAAAAATATCCAAGGAGCAAAATGGACCTATGTCCAAATGAGTGTACTGAGGTATCTGACAGGTACATGGAAATTTGTTGGACTGTTATCTCAATTTTCATGTATGTTCACAAATTTTCCTATTTCTAAAATAAGGTTTTCTATAGTGTCTACTAACCAACAATAACAACCATTGGTAACCCTGGAAATCGCCAGCTCTCTGGAGTGGAGGGAACAGAAGCCTGAGTCCACTGAGCAGGAGACAAGCAAGAAGAGAAACCGAGTGTTTCCATGCCTGATGTGTGATTTGCTGAAGCCCCATTTAGCAATCAGAGGACACACACCCAGGAATGCCTGGGAAAACAGAAGGGTGTGTGGCACCTACTTTCTCTCTCTCTCTCTCTCCCTCTTTCCCTGTCTCTCTTTCTCCCTCTCTGTCTCTCTGTCTCTCTCCCTCTCTGTCTCTCTCCCCCCCACTCCCTCTCTCTCCCTCTCTGTCTCTCTCCCTCCTGTGGAGCTAGTGATGAAACCCAGGGCCCTGGGTATGCTAAGAAGAAGCACTCTGTCCCTAAGTGCTGTGGGATGTTCTGTATGGCAAATGTGTTGCTGATTAGTCAATAAATAAAACACTGATTGGCCAGTGGCCAGGCAGGAAGTGTAGGTGGGACAAGGAGGAGAATAAAGCTGGGAAGTGGAAGGCTGAGTCAGAGAGACACTGCCAGCCGCCACGATGACAAACAGCATGTGAAGATGCCGGTAAGCCACGAGCCATGTGGCAAGGTATCGATTAATGGAGATGGATTAATTTGAGCTGTAGGAACAGTTAGCAAGAAGCCTGCCACGGCCATACAGTTTGTAACCAATATAAGTCTCTGTGTTTACTTGGTCGGGTCTGAGGGGCTGTGGGACTGGCAGGTGAGAGAGTTTGTCCTGACTGTGGGCCAGGCAGGAAAACTCTAGCTACACCTAAGCCTCTTTCTACTTCTCATTTTGAATCAGGTTGCAAAATTGCCAGGCTGCCCTTGAACTCACTCTGTAGCCAAGGCTGGCTTGAATATTGGCTCCTCTGACTCAGACTCCCGAGTAGCTGGGAGTACAGGCCTGAGTGCCGGGCTCAGCTTAAGAGCGACTTTCTTACATTCCAAGTAGCATGCTGTGATCCATACACTAGATCAGCCCATGGCTTTCCTCTAGTGATCTGCGACAAAAAACAAACACCGAAAGTATTTCCTCAGCAGTACCCCACTTCCTGTCTCTGTCCCTGTCCTTACCCACAGCCAGCACCCTCTTTGCTGGCAGGGCACCAGCAGAGAGGGGACCTCTGTGAGGACATATAAGCTCTAGCAAGCTAAACTTGCAGAGAGGGTCCCCTAGCCTGGGCTGCAGGTGGGCTGTGGGCAGGGAACAGATCTGTACCTTACAGGTCTCAATACTTCTTCTGTGCCTGTGTTTTCCCAGCCTTGTCCTTCCCATCGCCTTGTTCCCACATCCCAAGACTTCATGGGTAGTGGGGGAATCCCTTGAGCTGGAGGATGTACACATGCGCATATAGTCTCACACAAGGCAGCACAGTGATCTGTCTAAGCCTGAGGTGGGTGGGGTACATTTCGTAGTGATGAGCCAGGACATGAGCTGGGACCAGTTGTGTGGGACGAGTCATCCTCCAGAGCCTGGGCACCTTTGGGATAGAATTGATTTGTCCCAATTAGCCTCCCATCCATCTCTGTAGGTCTGATTTGCCCCTGGGCCAGAAGTAGGGAATCTCCCTTTCTCCAGACCTCAGTTTCCTCACCTTCCTTTCTCAATGCATGCCCGGACTTAGGAAGGTCTCCTCTGAGGCCTCTGCAGGTCAGTAGCCACCTGGGAAGGCTGTAGAATAGCTAATTGCTGAAGGAAAGAGAGGGGCCATGAATGAAGTCTGTATCTAAGGGACAAGAGACTGAAGTTCACTTTCTGCCTTCTGATGCAATGGAGGACTGGTGTGTGTGTGTGTGTGTGTGTGTGTGTGTGTGTGTGTGTGTGTGTGTGTGTGTGCGCGCGCGCGCATGCGCATATGCACACCTGGACAAGTGCATGCATGCATGCATAGTCTGCTGCTCAGAGACTAAGCCTCATCCTCATCCCTGCGCTGGAGGTTGTTGGTTTTCTGATCTCTAATCATTAAGGCTCTTACAAAGCCAGGCGTTGATGTCGCATGCCTTTAATCCCAGCATTTGGGAGGTAGAGGCAGGTGAATCTCTGTGAGTTCTAGGCCAGCCTGGTCTACCAAGCAAGTTCCAGGACAGCCAGGACTGATACACAGAGAAACTGTCTTGAGTGGGAGGGGAAGACTCTTACAAAGTGGGATACTGAGGTGGACTGCCCTGGGCTTCCAGATCCGCCGGCCCTCAGCACACCTGTACTGTCTCTCAGCTCTCGTGTGACACACCCTGACTCCTTGTGGAGCTGGTCTCTTTACCTTAGGCCAAGCCCCCATTTTGTCTGGATACAGTAGCACACACATGTCTGTGATTCAAGTACTTGGAAAGGCAGGGGCAGAAGGATCCTGAGTTCAGGGTCAGCCCAGGTTACACAGACAAGACCCCACCATGTAGAGTAGGCTGAACTTTAGCCCCCGGTCTCAAGCCATTCTCCTACTTGAGTAGCTGGGACTACAGGCCTGTACCACTGTACCCAGCTACGGCAATATTTATAAGCCCCATATTCAGCTGTCATGGATACAGAACAAGTATCAGTAGCTGTGAGCTTTGAGCCTCATTAGAGAGTCCTGAGATTCATGATCCAGAAGCTGGGGGCCTGGAATGGATGAGCTGTACCACTGATCCCATGACCAACACCTATCACCCCTAACTTCCCCAGGTCAGGTGAATGTCTGCTTCTATTTCATCTGTGGGCTTTAGCTCTGACCCATCCTGAGCTCAGCCTGCTGGGATTTGCCTCTTGTGGGCTTTCAAGGCTCAGATCCTTGCACTGCCTTGCCACTTCTGAGGTGGCCCCGCCCTCAGTCTCCCAGCGTCACTTACTGTTGTTGCGCAGCTGTTTCCTGGGGATTGAAACACCTCCTGGAGGGAGGCCGGAAAGGCTCAGAAAGTGAACGGAATTTAAAAGTCTCAGGAAACTCCTGAAACATACAAGATTCACAAGGCCCTGCCTCAAGGCTATATAAGTAAGGATCTCTGGAGCTGGAAGATTCTCCAGCAAGTCATGCAAAGGTCTCCAGGGATACAGTTTTAATGAGTCTTGAGTTTATCAGTGATACAACTGCCTTTGAGCCAGCCATGCTTCTGCTGCAGGTAACCCCTCACCCACAGTTCTGTTAGTGGGCCCAATGAACTCACTGGTTACTAAACTAGATGTGTGGGATCATCTCTTTGTTCTGTCCCATTGGGGCAAATGGATATCTGTCCAGGGAAAACCACCCAGCACCCATCTACCCCTAGGTCATGCTGACAAACCCTAAGAACTGTGAGTTTCTGACTCCACAGATGGACTCACCCACTCTCCAGTGTGCACGGCATGCACACATACATGCGCACGCACTCCGACACCACAGAGCCAGAGGAAGACACTGCTGAGCCAGAGGGACCAGTTTTATTAGATTCCAGCAAGACTACAGCACGATTTCATGCAGATTAAATATATGTCTTTGCCTCCCCAGGAGGGGAGCACCTCCACTTCCAGCTCCTTCATGGCGTTTCAGGGGAGTCAAGGGGATCCCTCCATATATTCTGCATGGGGAACTGTCGGGATCATGACTGGGGGTGAAGATGAGACCGTGGACAGTTGAGGGCCTCTGGGACCTTGAGTCTTCAGAGGGTCAGGGGCCATAGGACCTTGGTCCTTTGATGGGGCTGGCACCAGGGGATCCTGACCCTTCAGAGGTACTGGGATTATAGGGTCTTGATTCTTTACAGGCCCAAGGACCACAGGGCTTTGATTCTTTGGAGGCTCTGGGACCATGGGACCTTGGTCCTTGGCTAGTGCTGGGATAATAGGGTCTTGGCTCTTCACTGGCTCAGGGGCCACTAGACCTTGGTTCTTTACAGGTGCTACAAACACAGAATCATTTCCCTTTATAAGCCTGGGGACCACTGTATCTGTACCTTTGACTGGGTCTGCTAAGCCTTGATTCTTCATGGACTCAGAGACCACAGGGGCTTCACTCTTCAAAGGTGCCGTGACTGTGACATTCTGCTCCTTCCTACGCTCTGGGACCACGGGAGCTTGGTCTTTCCAAGGCTCAGGGGTCACAGGACCTAGGTCCTTCAAAGGAGCTCGGTCTTTCCAAGGCTCAGGGGTCACAGGACCTAGGTCCTTCAAAGGAGCTCGGTCTTTCCCAGGTTCAGGGGTCACAGGACCTGGGTCCTTCAAAGGAGCTCGGTCTTTCCCAGGTTCGGGGGTCACAGGACCTGGGTCCTTCAAAGGAGCTCGGTCTTTCCCAGGTTCGGGGGTCACAGGACCTGGGTCCTTCAAAGGAGCTCGGTCTTTCCCAGGTTCAGGGGTCACAGGACCTGGGTCCTTCAAAGGTGCTGGTGCTGGGGAAATTTGATCCTTAGCTCTTGCTGGAACCACAGGACTCTGATTCTTCAGAGGCTCCGGCAGCAAAGGGCTTTGGGCTTCGGCTGGTGCTAAGATGACCGAATCTTTATTCTTTAAAGGCTCAGAAGCCACATGGTCTTGATCCTTGGCTGGTGCTGGGGCCCCTGGACCTAGATTTTTCACAGGCCCTGGGAATACAGCACCTTGATCCTTTGGCGGGCCCAGGGGTGTAGGGCTTTGGTCCTTTAAGGAGCCCGGGACCACAGGAACTCGGTCTTTTGGCAGTTCTGGCACCATGGGGCCTTGGTCCTTCAGAGGCTCTGGGACCACAGGACCTTGGCCTTTCGGAAGCCCTGGGACCACAGGACCTTGATCCTTGTGTGGTTCTTTGGCTACAGGACCTTGATTCTTATGTGCATCACGGGTGGGTTGGACCCGGCTCCTGCAAAGAGAGAGAGGTGGTCACTGAGGGTCGAGCATCAGCCAGGGAGAGGGCAGAACACAGATTGCCTGATGAGACTTGGCCTGGTAGGGCCTGGGCAGGGTAGCTCTTAGTGGAGGAGCCAAGAGGAAATTGGATTTCCACACCAGTGGGGAGTGCAGGGTGGGAGCAGGGCAGCCCAGGGAATCAGTCATTCAATGTGTTTGCCAATTGATTATAACCTGCAAGCGGCAAAGGGCGTGGTGCCTGGGAGACAGCAGCAGTAATGCCCCCCGGATTCGAACCATCCGGTGGGCACCCCAGCAGCCCACCTGGCCCATACTCTGCTCAGCCCTATTTCACCCTACATTGCCAGACCCATCCTTGGAGCCCCATCTTAACTACTCAGTGCTCATGGAGAGTCAACTGCTCTGTCATATCTCTAGTCCTTTCCAAGGTTCTTTTTCTCCCCAGACTCTATTAAGGGATGGCTACTGGCAAGGACAAGGGTCTATGGTGTATCAGGAAAGGGGTGGTAGGAATATCCTTCTGACCTCCCCACCCCGAAAGAGGAAGAGTATCTCATCATTCATGTTTAGAACGACCCACACGTGGTAATAATAAAAAGTGGATTATTTTAAATATGGCTGCTCTTCAGTTCTCTGCAGACAGTGCACCCCCTACTGCCTGCACTGCTCCCCACACCAGCCTTTGGTAGACAACTAGCTGGGGCTCCCCCGTTCAGGCCCTGGTGCCCCTTCTCTGGCTGCTCTCCCACTCTCTCCTCAGACGCTTGTGCTCACTTGCTCCAAGGCTCCTGGGTTTATCCCTCAAATCCAAGTCCCCAGACCCCTCCCTATAGCCTTCATGGGATGCGTGCTCTGCGTGGCTGACCGCAGCCACCCACCCCATCCCTTGGTCCGCCCTGATTGCAGAGAGCATGCGCCAACACTGCCACCTGAGGCCAAACATCACCAACCCAGACCCGAGCGTTCTGGAGCCTTCTGGTCTACACACCTTCCTTGTAGGCCAGGCTGCCATCAAGAGTGGCATTGCTCAGCCAGTGTCACAACCCTTGCACACCTAGGCACATTCCACCTTCCAAATCACTTCTACAGCTCACGCTGGCAACACAGCAGCCCTGTGAAACACACGGGTGTGAGACACACAACGAGGGTTTTTATCACCCTGATTGTTCAGCAAGTGATGAGGAGGTGAGGTGCCTGCAGGAACTAGATTCTAGATCTTTCTTCTTCTGGGGCCTGTGTGCTTTCTCTCAGAGGGCCTGGCTCACAGCGGTCCTTAGGACAAGACACTTCTCAGTATTATTCATTTATACTTCATAACAACAAAATCCGTACGGTTAGACCCAAGTTAGCACTTTAATAAACCCTGACAGGTCCTCTCAGATCTGTGCGTGACCCGCGTGCCATCTTATTGAAGCTCAGGAGAGCGTCCAGGCCAGACTTCTTCTCAGGACCTCCGCTTCAGCCCCTATCCCATCGGCAGGGCATTGGCGCCCCCTGCTGCCGAAGTTCATAAGCAAGGGCAACCCTTGAGCCTGGGCGCTTGGGCCTTGGCTTTAAGCCTACTGAACTGTCTCAGACATGGTTCAGCAATACGGATCTAACCCCATATTGATCTGTCAATAAACTTTTTACCTTAGTAGTTAAATCTCTTTAATCATGAGCTTTAGGATTAAGATTAGAAATGGTGGACAGCAAGATAGCCTGCCTCCAAGGCTGCTTTCATTCCCCAGAATACACATATTGGAAGGTAAGAACCAACTTCCACAAGTCATCCTCTGACTTACACATGTGTGCTGCAGCACACATGCACACATTTGTTCATATGCATACATGTGCATACCCAGATAAATAAATGTAATTATAACTTTTTTTTTTAAGATTAGAATAAAGGGCTGAAAAGATGGCTCAGTTAAGAGCACTTGTTGCTCTTCCAGAGGATACGAGTTCAGTTCCCAGTGCCTAAATAGTGGCTCACAACTGTCTGTAACTCCACTTCCAGAAGATCTGGAACCTCCTCTGATTTCAGTAGACTCCTACATGCACATGATACACAGACATGCATTCAATCACACACACACACACACACACACACACACACACACACACACACACACGCGCGCGCACGCGCGCTACATATAAAAGAATGATTAGAAATGACTTAAATAAATTCAAAATATGCCTCTTTTTTCTCTCTTTCTCTCTTTCTTTTTCTTGTTCTTTTTCTTTCTTCTTTCCTCTCTTTCTCTCTTTCTTTCTTTCTTTCTTTCTTTCTTTCTTTCTTTCTTTCTTCCTATCTGTCTGTCTGTCTGTCTTTTTTGTTATTAGCTTTAGGAACAGTCTGTGTAGATTTAATTCAAAAGTTCAAGGTAGTTTGGTAAATTAGACCATCTAAATTAGCTTTGTTACTCCAATATAAAGCGTGTAATGGAATAATTAAGTTATATTTATAAATTATTTTTTCTTATGTAAATTTTGCAAATAGAATCAAGACATAAACAAATAATTTAAAAAATTCTTCTGGGGAATTGGAATTATCACTCAGTTGGTAGTGTTTGCCTGGCATGCACAAAGCCTGGACTCCATCCAAGCACTGTATAAACTAGACATGGGAGGCCCGGGTTTATAACCCAGTACTTGGTTGGAGGAGGAGGTGGCAGGAGGATTGCGAGTTCAAGGTTATCCTAACTACATTAAAAGTTGGAGGCTAGCCTGGGCTATGTGAAACCTTATCTCAAAACACAAAACCAAAATCACATTCTGGCTTATGACACTTTTAAGGAAAACCCGAGTGTGTGTCTGATATTTTATCAGAAGTGAAATCTGGGATCAAAAGAGGCTCTGGGGACTGAACTGTCCTGTCAGGCTGGAAAGGTAAGCAACTTCCCGATATACAGTCCAAACAGTGGGATGCTCTGTTCTCCCCATTGGCAAAAGGCAAAAGTAAACTTCTGTGCTGTACCCTCAACACTCTGGTGAGTGCCACACAAGAATAAGCAGATAATGCCAGGTGTTTGGCGGCTCACACCTTCAATTCCAGCACTTGGGAGGCAGAGGCAGACAGATCTCTGAGTTTGGGGCCAATCTGGTTGACTTCTAGGACAACCAGGGCTATACAGTGAGGCCGTGTCTCAAATAAGTAGGTAAAAATAAAAACAAGCAGATATACACGTTTAAACATTGTTGAACAGCTGCCACTCGCCCGGTGTCTGTTGTCCTTCAAGACGAAGCAGAAATAAGTGTGTCCCAGAATGTCTGCTGGCTTACACGGGAAGAGAGGCTTCTGGCTGAGGCCTGGCCCCACCAGCGCAAACTGTTTCTAAGCCAGCCATTTCTTTGTTAAATGAGACATGCCATTTCAAGTTAAATAACCTGAGATAGTTTTACGAAGTTCGTAACCAGCGATGGAACATTTATAGCCTATCAAGCTGCTGGAGTCTTGTGCTTCACTTAAGTTATTTATGATTTAGGTTGAATTATTTAGAAGAATCGAAACATAGATCTTCCTTAAAAGGAGGCTGTTACTTTTTGCTGGATATTTGGTTTTCTTACTTTTACAGATTAGGCATTGCTTTTGAAAATCAGGTTGGCCGGGCGGTGGTGGCGCACGCCTTTAATCCCAGCACTCGGGAGGCAGAGCCAGGCGGATCTCTGTGAGTTCGAGGCCAGCCTGGGCTACCAAGTGAGTTCCAGGAAAGGCGCAAAGCTACACAGAGAAACCCTGTCTTGAAAAACCAAAAAAAAAGAAAAAAAAAAAAAAAAAGAAAGAAAATCAGGTTGGTTTTGACAGGGTTTCCCATGAGCAGAACCGCCCTCATGGGGTATCGTGAGCCCTCACTATGTCTGTGTGGCTCTGCCACCTCTGCCAGCCTTCCTCTGTGACCTCTGGGGCAGCTGGGATACACTCACAGTGCTGTTTGCAAGGGACAAAGGGTCCCTCCAATGGAAGCTGGGAGGTGATGGGCTAATAAAGTGAATGGCTCCTGCCCTTGGGTAGGACAGTCTGTACAACTGAATCTGCCACCCTGGGCCAGCTTCACATCTTCCATGTGGTCCTTCTACCGCCCGGCCTGGGGGCCCCACAGCGCAAATCTCCGGAAGTGAGACAGACAGGCTGGCCTCATCTGCCTTTCAGGGCTGCTTATTGCCTGAGAGGTCTTGAACAATTACTGAACCACATGGGCCTCGGTTTCCTCACCTGTAAAATGGGATACCGGTTATCAGGGACTGCCATGGCAGAAAAACAGAGGACCGCTACTGGGAAGCTGAACTGTGTTTGTGAAGTGCTTGGGCAAATGACACAGACACACCCATCCCTGGGAGGCAGGGTGGGTAATTGTAATAATGGTTTATCTCCTTCAACTCCCACAGATCCCTGGGGAAAGGTGGGCCTTCCTGTGACCTTTGTCCTTGGCTAAGTCTCCAGCGCCCTCCCCCCAACACTCCCTTCCCTCTTCACCCAAATAATGCCCACTCATCCTGCACCCCACTCATCCTGCACCCCTTTCTCAGCTCGCTGCAGCTGCACTGGGGAACCTGCTCTGACCCCAGTCATGGCCACAGGGGGCCGCCAGCTCTCTCCATTCCTTTTCTTAGTCAATTACTTGTATACTCTCTTGGGTTAATGGTTCCCATGCTATCTGGACGTGTCCAGAGGACATTTTGCTCACAATTGTATCCTCTGCATCTTAAACAGCACCTCACTCATAGACAAGGTCAAACTATAGGCTGAGGTTTGTCCGGTGAGTGGATGCACAAGAATCCTTTCTGTGCTGGGCTCTCCTATTTCAAATTGACGTTTCAAGGCTGTAGGCGACATCGAGTCTCAGACACGTCACTCTCTGCCTCTTGTTTCCATGGAGACTGTCACTGCCTCTAGAGCACAGTGGCACTGGATCCATTCTCCCAGAATTTGGAGTGAAAATGTGTGTGGTGGTATGTGCCTGTAATCCCAGCACTGGGGAGGCTGAGGCAGGAGGATTGCTTTGAGTTCAA